GGTATGGTAACCCTACTTTCTCCTCTCCACCTCCACCATACAAATAGAGTAGAACCTCAAAGTTGCGAACACCAGAGTTACAAACTGACTGGTCAATCACAGATATCATTTGGAACCGCAAACATGCCATCAGGCAGCAACAGAGACAAAAAAAAGCAAATATTGCACTGTCTGGTGTTAAACGTAAACTACCAAAAATGAAGGAAAATTTAAAAAAAAGATTTGACAAGGTAAGGAAACTGTTTCTGTGCTTGTTTCATTTAAATTAAGATGGTTAAAAGACAGTATTTTTCTTCTGCGTAGTAAAGTTTCAAAGCTGTATTAAGTCAATGTTCAGTTGTAAACTTTTGAAAGAACAACCATGATATTTTGTTCAGCGTTACATACATTTCACAATTATGACGAACAACCTAACTCTGAGGTTCTATTGTAGGGGTGCTCTGCCAGGAACTACCTGACCTAAACCATTCTCAACAATCATCCTCCTTGCAGTAGCTCACCAGTCACACCAGAGTCTTGATCCCATTTCCGTACGAGGGGGCATCTGGCAGCAGATTCCCTGCAACTGTTGCTGATTGCATTGCTCTGTGGGGCCAGTTGATGGCAAACAAGCCTGCAGTTAGGTAGCGGAGCCACCTAGGGAAAGAGACAGAGGAAGTGTTAACTTTTCACCTTATGTTTTCAATATAAAAAAAAAAACTATTATCCTACTGCCCAGACACGTTCAAAGTTTGAAAAGTTTCACTAGAGTTACGAGAACTAACCACACGTTAATTAAGAAATGTATATTCAGACTAATGAGCTTTTGGTACTGAATTGATTTCTTGCAAAGAACTAATAAACACATTAATGTGAAATGGAAAAACATGCCAAAACTCTGAAAGACAAATCAGTCTCCTGAACACTAAACTGGCACTCTGTGCCTCATTTTTTATAGTTCATCGCTTAAAAAACTATTATATATCTTTATCTACAGGGCAAAAACTCACCCCAGTGTTACTTCAGTCTTTGGAGTTACACCAAGAATGAATCTCGCTTATAGTGAGTAAAGTTCAGCATACTTCAGATACAAAAGTGAAATACAAATGTAAAATCAACTGCTGAGTGGCATGTACAAGAACTTGTTCTCTTGCAGATGTGCATACATATCTATCATTCATATTTCCTACATAATGGAAGGAAAGTCTGAAGCACTATATGTGTTGGACATCTGAGTAAAAACATAAGTGGAACATTGTTGTATCTGTGCCCACAGATCATCTTGCATTCTGTAAACTGGTTGGTTACACAGAAAAGGAATCTTTTGTAACACTAGCAAGAAATTCAAGTTTTATTAGAGCTCACAAAACCAAACTAAATATATGTTCTTCACATTTACCAGTACATAGTGTGACAGACCCAGACCAGTGGGGTACAGGAGTCTGGTAGAGGGCAAATATACTGGTCACTGGATGAGTAGTTTTCTGTTTCCTGAGTGACCAGAGCAGGGGCTGCACTAGAGTAATCAGGAACCTGCTAGAACCAGTTAAGGCAGGTGGACTAATTAGAACACCTGGAGCCAATTAAGAAGAAGCTGCTCGAATCAATTAAGGCAGGCTAATCAGGGCACCTGGGTTTTAAAAGGAGCTCACTTCAGTTTGTGGTGTGAGTGTGAGGAGCTGGGAGCAAGAGGCGCAAGGAGCTGAGAGGGTGTGGGTGTGCTGCTGGAGGACTGAGGCGTACAAGTGTTATCAGACACCAGGAGGAAGGTGTTTGGAGGAGGCCATGGGGAAGTAGCCCAGGGAGTTGTAGCTGTCATGCAGCTGTTACAGGAGGCACTATAGACAGCTGCAGTCCACAGGGCCCTGGGCTGGAACCTGGAGTAGAGGGCGGGCCCGGGTTCCCCTCCCAATTGACCTGGACTGTGGGGTTCTTCCAGAGGGGAAGGTCTCTGGGCTGTTCCCGAACCCACATGGTGAATCTCTGAGGCAAGAAAATCCGCCAATAAGCGCAGGACCCACCAAGGTAGAGGAGGAACTTTGTCACAATAGACATGTTTTTTAAAAAGATTATGATTTTAAGTGCTCTGAGTAGCACAGATCATCAATGATACCTCAGAAGGAAGGAAATGTAAGAATATGATTCAAACAAAACAACTCCTTAACTTGTATAAAAAGGGATTACTTACCAACAGTAACTCATGTTCTGTCTCAACAAAGGTCCACTGTAGAATTAGCATTGGAACCTTCTTAAGCAGTAGTTGGCAGTTACAGTACATATAAAATCTCCTCAAGCCTTGTGGTCCACAAACAAATGGCATAAATATCCCACCCCTCCCTACCTCCCAAATCTACTTACAGCTGGGATCAGAAGTAGAGAAGAGGAAGGGAGGGTCATTGTGATACTGTGGAGACAATATATTCCGAAGTGGAATCCACTTTGACAGCTCTTTATAGGGATTCTTTACAAGAGGATGAACCCACTTCATCCTAGGATTTCGCATCATACTTTGTAACCAAGAGTCTTGGCAGCCATACTATATATGCCTGAAGTTACCCTTTTTAGAAGATCTCCCAGACTCTTGAGCTACACTAGCATTTTGCAGGAGGTGATTATAAAACAGTCTTCTGGAGCCTTTGGAGCTCTTGGTGAGAAGGCCTTGCAGACATGACTGCCTTCATTTGGTGGGTCCTCCTCTTCCTCTCTCTCTCTTTCAGTGGATGTCCCCAAAGGTTCAGTTTTTGGCCCTCTGCTCTTCTTTCTCTACACTGTATCGCTAAGTCCTCTTATCCAAGACTTCAAATGTCATTTTTGTACTGACAATTTTGAAAATCTCTCTCTAGTGAAGACCTGCCTTCCTCCATCCATTTCCACATCTTAGCCTATCTTTCGGACCTCTCTTTCTGAATGTCCAGCTGACAACTTAAGCTCAATACATCCAGAACTGAACTTTTAATCTCCCTGGCCATGCCTTCCCCTCTTCTCAATTTCTCAACCACCATCATCCTCCCAATCACACAGGCCCATAATCTGGGTATAATCATCAACTCAGCCCTTTCTAGAAGTATACACTTAGGCCATGTCTACCCCCATATTTCAAAAATTCAGCCTTTTCGGTCTTTTTCAGACCCTCATCATCTTATACCTTAACTAGAATAATCTCTGTGGAAAAATTTTTCAAAAGTACTCAAGTGCCTTAGGACCCGAAGCTCATTTACTTTCAATGGGACTTCAGCTTCTGAATCACTTACCTAACATTTTTTTACTCTTCCTCTCTGCCTTGATGCCAAACACATTGCAACCTCATCTCTACCCCCTTAAATCCTCCTGTCAGGATCATCTTCCTGACTTGTCACTCTGACAACGTCACATTCCTCTTTGTATCCCTCCACGGGCTGTATCCACCACTCCACCAAACACAATTTTCTTGTTTTTGCCTTTGAAGCCTTACCATTTAGCGTCACCAGCTTTCTGAGCCATCGGATGGCCTTCACTTTGCCAGCGATGTCAGCCCTGATTGCCCACTTGCCACTTCTCTGCACTGTCCCCCATGCTGCCATTCCATGCACATGAAAACCTCCTAGTCAAAATCCCTAAGGCTACCACCTTATCCTCCTTCAAGTCCCTTTGCAAAACTGATCTCTTCTATAATGCATACAGTAAACTACAACTTGATAACAGGTAGGGAGGTGGCAAGCTGTAATTACTGCTTTTTACTGGCTATGAATTGCCTACCCTCTATTTTTTTCACTCTTACCCACCCTGAACTCGTTTGTTTTATTGACCTACTGTATACTGTCTTTTTACTCTTTGGGCGGAGGGACTGTCATTTTCTATGCCTGTATAGCGCTTAGCACAATGGTGCCCCAACTTGGCACTACAGAAATATAATTGTTCATAATAAATAATAAAGCTGAGTTCCCTCCCCCCCAAGGCACAAAGGGTACTTTTCATGCCTATATGAACTGAAGGACATCATGGGGAAAGAGAGACAACTTCTAAATTCCCCATACGTATTTTAAAAAATCATTAAAGTAAAATAATAAATCAGAAACTTTTCAGCCTAAACTTAATGAAACTTTTAAAAAGCAACTTACAGTGAGACTTGTGAATCTAATATGATGGGAGGAAAGAGATATGTTTGTTCCATTACTACTCCAGGTGACAAACAAAGGAATTCAGTAGTTGCATAGGATGGGGGTTTCACAACGTCCATCTATGGGACGTAGGGCTCTAGGAAGTTACATACACCACATAATTGACAATTATTGCTTTAAAAGTTTCCATGGCTAGGCATGTTGGACTATGTGGAGGCAACATCATGAAGAAAAAAGAAATATTGACAGAGCACTATTACTGTTAGTATCAGTAGCTGATTAGTTAGCCCAAAACAAATATGACCTGAGGATTTATTGAGGACTTGCAGGTTTGGAGAATCTCTCATTTTCTATGTATAATTTAGGGCATCTTTTCACTGCAAAACCAGTGATCTGAATGTGGCAAGACAGGACTGGAGGAAACATATACAGAGTAGATCTGACCTGATTTATTAATCTGGTATTTAATTTCTCTGACAAGACATTTTAGGAGAAAACAGGCTGAACAGTAATATATTATCATGCAGTAACACATGCTTCAGGAATGACCTTAGAACTCCATCTTCCCAAATTGTGTGAGAAAAGGCTTGCCCTCAAACTGACATGCTTGGTACTGCTATCTAGCCTGGGAGGAAATAAGATGCCCCATTTCTAAGACCACCTGCTGGAGAATTGAAGAAGCAATATAGAAATAAGTTGAGACTGTGTATCTTGATTTCATTAATGGCCAGGGTGACAGCTACAAGAGGAGAGTAGATGGCCAATATTCAGTTACCTAGTGAGTCATCCAAAAATAAAAAAGAAAGACTTTTGTTTTGAGCCCTAGGATCAGAAATAATATTTGTATATACGTGACCCAAGAGCTTCTTACTGCCAATTGACAACAGAGTGTGGTGGGGTTACAGGAATTTCCTGATTCTGGTTCACCAAAGAATGTCATCTGAGGTCTCAAATGAAAGCTGCTGTCACACTCATCATCAATATCATTGTGAAATATACAGATACTATGTAAGGAGTCATGTATCTATAAAAAAAAATATGTTCTTAAGCATGTAAAGTGAAAACAGGTCACCAAAAGTTGACATGTCTCAGACTGGTTCCTCCAGACAGGAGTTAAGAAACATGTATCTCTCTATTGAGATGTAAATTAAGCATTGTAACCTAACACAATTGATGTCCATTTACATATGAAGTAAAAGTTGAAGAGATATGAAGTCAACAGGAAGAGCACACAGGAAAAAACAAGCCACGGGGGTTATCATGTCCATGAGTAAAGATAATGAACTTTGGAGGTATTTCTAGAAGGCAAAGAAGACACCCTGTTATCCTGTACCTACAAAATAAAGGACAGCATGTTTGCATTCATGAAAGTGGGTCTCAGCCAGCCTTGGTTGAAAATTCTGCAGAGAACTTTGGTTGAGATAAACTTATTTCGGCAGGAGGTTAAGCTGATAGTTAAGGTTAGTCTCCAGAAAGTGTGTTATGATTTTGTTTTATATGTTTATATGTAACCATTTGTTTCCAATATTCTTACTCACTATTTCTTGAATTTTAACTCTT